AAAAAGCCTCAGAGAAGCAATTTGCAGCTTCCTCACCCAAAATAACACAAACTCTGCGCAGAGAAAGAGCATCAGGACGGAACAAAAGGTGTCAACGTCAGCGAAATAGGAATGGAACATGCAGACATGGCAACAACTAGCAGGTACTGGGCACCTCGGTGCTCCTGCTTCAGGTGTTGAAGACATTGTACAACATGATGATCAACATGATCAAAACTCTCTGCTACTAGGACGCGCACAAAGCAACAGCATAACCCGCAGCGCCGTGGCACCACCGGTACCTGCCACCCTACTGATGTGTCTGGCAAGGCCACACCCCTGGCAATGGCACCGGCCCAACACACCTACTGGCTGACACAGGCTGCATGAGAGTACTAACAGCACAAGACATGCAATCACATGTAGCAAAACGGATCAAAGAGCAGAGGATGCAAGAAATAACCCCAATTCATGCTATGACGCAGAGGCCAAGTCCCTTCTTGGTGCTAGCTGCAGCCGGCCGTCAACCACGCGTAAAAAGGGGTGATCAGCTGGCACAATATCCAGCCAGGTCAAGGGTGCCGCCTTGATGACTATGAAGTCAACCAGCAGCTCCCAAAACCTAGCCACCGCCGCCTTCTTCTTCGTCTGCACCAGCTCATCAAGCTCCTGCTGTCGCCGCTGCTGAAGCTCCCCAATTTGTTTGCTCTGCCCGGGAAGAAGAGGGGTTACATGGTGTGCACAGGCGACTACGTCGCAACGAACACCCGAAAACAAAGAGAGCTGCTAGAAGTTCAGCGGAAAAACACTGTCACCCAAAAGAGGCCCACCCCGAGAAAGCCTCTGTGCGCGAGACATGACACGTGGCTCTGCAGGCAGAACCGTCAGACTCACAACACGCAGTGTAGAATTCTATTGGGAGAAGCAGCAGGACTAACCTAAAACAGTGTCGGTGACAGCAGGCCATACTTGTGCAGTACAGCGGGCGGGCTGAACTCAACGGGACAAAGTTGGCCAGTAAAGGTCAATACCTTGGTCCGAGGTTTGCTCTGCCCTGATTGATTGAGGAGAGTTACATGGGTGTGCACGTCGGAAACGGAACACTTCAAGGACTGCAGCGCGCAGGACACGAGAATAAACCACAAAAAGCCTCAGCGAAGCAATTTGCAGCTTCCTCACCCAAAATAACACAAACTCTGCGCAGAGAAAAAGCATCAGGACGGAACAAAAGGTGTCAACGTCAGCGAAATAGGAACGGAACATGCAGACATGGCAACAACTAGCAGGTACTGGGCACCTCGGTGCTCCTGCTTCAGGTGTTGAAGACATTGTACAACATGATGATCAACATGATCAAAACTCTCTGCTACTAGGACGCGCACACAGCAACAGCATAACCCGCAGCGCCGTGGCACCACAGGCACCTGCCACCCTACTGATGTGTCTGGCAAGGCCACACCCCTGGCAATGGCACCTGCCCAACACACCTACTGGCTGACACAGGCTGCATGAGAGTACTAACAGCACAAGACATGCAACCACATGTAGCAAAACGGATCAAAGAGCAGAGGATGCAAGAAATAACCCCAATTCATGCTATGACGCAGAGGCCAAGTCCCTTCTTGGTGCTAGCTGCAGCCGGCCGTCAACCACGCGTAAAAAGGGGTGATCAGCTGGCACAATATCCAGCCAGGTCAAGGGTGCCGCCTTGATGACTATGAAGTCAACCAGCAGCTCCCAAAACCTAGCCACCGCCGCCTTCTTCTTCGTCTGCACCAGCTCATCAAGCTCCTGCTGTCGCCGCTGCTGAAGCTCCCCAATTTGTTTGCTCTGCCCGGGAAGAAGAGGGGTTACATGGTGTGCACAGGCGACTACGTCGCAACGAACACCCGAAAACAAAGAGAGCTGCTAGAAGTTCAGCGGAAAAACACTGTCACCCAAAAGAGGCCCACCCCGAGAAAGCCTCTGTGCGCGAGACATAACACGTGGCTCTGCAGGCAGAACCGTCAGACTCACAACACGCAGTGTAGAATTCTATTGGGAGAAGCAGCAGGACTAACCTAAAACAGTGTCGGTGACAGCAGGCCATACTTGTGCAGTACAGCGGGCGGGCTGAACTCAACGGGACAAAGTTGGCCAGTAAAGGTCAATACCTTGGTCCGAGGTTTGCTCTGCCCTGATTGATTGAGGAGAGTTACATGGGTGTGCACGTCGGAAACGGAACACTTCAAGGACTGCAGCGCGCAGGACACGAGAATAAACCACAAAAAGCCTCAGCGAAGCAATTTGCAGCTTCCTCACCCAAAATAACACAAACTCTGCGCAGAGAAAAAGCATCAGGACGGAACAAAAGGTGTCAACGTCAGCGAAATAGGAACGGAACATGCAGACATGGCAACAACTAGCAGGTACTGGGCACCTCGGTGCTCCTGCTTCAGGTGTTGAAGACATTGTACAACATGATGATCAACATGATCAAAACTCTCTGCTACTAGAACGCGCACACAGCAACAGCATAACCCGCAGCGCCGTGGCACCACAGGCACCTGCCACCCTACTGATGTGTCTGGCAAGGCCACACCCCTGGCAATGGCACCTGCCCAACACACCTACTGGCTGACACAGGCTGCATGAGAGTACTAACAGCACAAGACATGCAACCACATGTAGCAAAACGGATCAAAGAGCAGAGGATGCAAGAAATAACCCCAATTCATGCTATGACGCAGAGGCCAAGTCCCTTCTTGGTGCTAGCTGCAGCCGGCCTTCAACCACGCGTAAAAAGGGGTGATCAGCTGGCACAATATCCAGCCAGGTCAAGGGTGCCGCCTTGATGACTATGAAGTCAACCAGCAGCTCCCAAAACCTAGCCACCGCCGCCTTCTTCTTCGTCCGCACCAGCTCATCAAGCTCCTGCTGTCGCCGCTGCTGAAGCTGTAGCTGCTGCTGCTCTCTGTACTGCCTCACTGCCTCATTATGAGCCAGTTGCGCAGCTGAGGGAGTAGCAGGCTGCAACAACTGAGTGATAAGCTGCTGGTCAGCAGGTGGCGCCCGGGCAGGGCCACCTGCTGGACTGGCAACCAGGGCATGCTGCCTGTTTAGTACATGCTGTAGGTTGGCTGCCCTCCTGCCAACATCCATAGCATTGAAGGCCGCCAAACACACGACACGCCACACGCATGTGAGCACACTCCGCCCACCATGCGGCGGTTGCATGAGCCAAATATGCTGCATACTTAAAGCTATGGACTGAGGATCCAGGCGTGCGAGTGCACCATGCTGTAGGCAAATTCTCCACTATGGACTGTACCACCGCTTGCGCAACAGGGCAGTGCCAGTAATGGTGGTCATACCCAGGCATACACGCACCACACAAGCAAGCACGCTGCACGCCCGGCATTCGAGCAGCAGTAGGTACACCATTCAACACCACACGCCAGAACACCTCTTTGATGCGGTTATCCCAGCGCAACTTCCAAAGTTTACGCTGCGCAGCGGTCACACTACCAACACCATCCCTAGTCGCTGCTGAATTTGAGTTATTGAGTGCAAGGACCACAAACTGACGTTTCCGAGCCTGCTGCTCAACACGCAAATTACGCAGCTGTAAGGCGGTAGCTGTCTTCACGGACAGCCGCCTGATGGAGCAGGGCTTGCCTGCAGGCAACAAATACCAGCCAAGCCGTGAGACCAGCATGCATTCAACAATTTGTTCTGCCTCAGATGGCACTGCAGGAGCAGAAGGCAGAACATCTGGCCATCCTGCTCTTGCTGCCTCGCTTGCAGCAGCTTGAGTCCATGCAAGAGGCACATTATACAGCAACAAGTTGAGGTCATCAAACTCGCCCTCAGCATTGCTGCTGTTGCATGGGATCAGAGGGTGGGGCAGTTTGGCTTGTACCACACGTTCAATCACACGATGAGACCTAATCAAATCCCCAAGTGTACGAATGGTGGGCCTGACCTTCCCGCCCGTGTAGTAGAATGCACCTCTAGCCGGCGGAACAGGCAACACATGCAAACCACCCGGCCTAGCACCAGGGATACCCCCAAGCATGAAACAATTGGCAAAGACAGGGGCCAGAGCACACCAAGGCCCAGGCTGTAGAACCGGGGCACTGGAAAGAACAGCCATCTGCTGGCGCAATTGATCCAAACCTGGGCACGGCTGCCCTGGAGGCAGGGGCGGCTGCGTCTGCAATGGCGGCTGCTGCTGCTGCTGCTGCTGCTGCTGCTGCTGTTGCTGCTGTTGCGGCAGCGTTTGCCGCTGTTGTAGCGGCAGCGCTTGCTCTGCCCAGAAGAAGAAGAGGGGTTACATGGTTAAAAATTGATTGAGGAGAGTTACATGGGTGTGCACGTTGGAAACGGAACACTTCGAGGACTGCAGCGCGCAGGACACGAGAATAAACCACAAAAAGCCTCAGAGAAGCAATTTGCAGCTTCCTCACCCAAAATAACACAAACTCTGCGCAGAGAAAAATCATCAGGACGGAACAAAAAGGTGTCAACGTCAGCGAAATAGGATTGGAACATGCAGACATGGCAACAACTAGCAGGTACTGGGCACCTCGGTGCTCCTGCTTCAGGTGTTGAAGACATTGTACAACATGATGATCAACATGATCATAACTCTCTGCTACTAGAACGCGCACAAAGCAACAGCATAACCCGCAGCGCCGTGGCACCACAGGCACCTGCCACCCTACTGATGTGTCTGGCAAGGCCACACCCCTGGCAATGGCACCTGCCCAACACACCTACTGGCTGACACAGGCTGCATGAGAGTACTAACAGCACAAGACATGCAACCACATGTAGCAAAACGGATCAAAGAGCAGAGGATGCAAGAAATAACCCCAATTCATGCTATGACGCAGAGGCCAAGTCCCTTCTTGGTGCTAGCTCCAGCCGGCCTTCAACCACGCGGTTAAAAAAAAAAAAACGTGCTCTGCCCGGGATTCGAACGTAGTTCTACATTTAGCTATTGATATCATTTGTTACCAACTGATCTGCCAGAAATTGGGGACTTAGCTCAATTGGTAGAGCGCTCGCTTTGCATGCGAGAGGTCGGGGGTTCGATTCCCTCAGTCTCCACTATTGTTGCTCCGCGCCCGAGTTTGTCGATTGCTGGATACATAGGCAGCTCTATTGCCTTATTCCAGCCACCCCCTACCTCTTCCCTAGGCAGTGTATGCCTAAGCTGAAGGCAGGAAGGTCGCATGGAGGTTCACCATGTTGGCAGCCCAATAATGTGAAGAAGATGTATGCACAGGCAGCCATCTGCTAGATGTGATGAGCTGCAGCACTGCAACCAATATGGAAGCAAAGCAAGGAATCACACTATTACCCGACCCCCTCATGCAACATTGCGCATGCAAGCAAGCGCGCATGTCTGGTGCACTGCCCATGTCGTTACATGTACAAAACACTGCTGGAACGAGCCGCACAATTTTCATGATTGAAGCAAGCCTGACAAGCACAGCAGGCCCCCCCCCCCTGACCGACTATCGGCATGCAAGCACTGCTGGCTTCAACCACTGCATCATGTTGCAACTGAGGCAATGTTGAGCACTTAAGGAGCATCTGGAGACCACTACAGTCGCTTGGGGACAAGTTGTCAACAACCTTTCTGCGTCTAGGTAACAAAATCATTGAGCTGCGCACACACGCACTTAAACGTCCCTTAAGTTCACCTGAAGCAAGCAGTTGTTCAGCAGGCAAGCACAGTGTGAGGTGGGCTGGTGCCAGCCACACCCCACGCTTCCCACTGTTCTTGTACTCCGTAGAGCTGTACTCTCATGGAGCTGGCAAGCTGGATGTCACCCGCGCTGAGCCCAGCATGTCAGCCATTTGTCAATTGTCTGGTGCGTCAGCAGAACTAGACACTCTGCAGGCATACACATTGCCTGCAAGCTTGCCCAAAGGGCCGTCAAGGCTTGGCAGGGTTTTCCATGCCTAGCCTAGCTAGGCCTGCTTGCACATGCCCAGCTTGCACACTACCCAGCCTGCACCGCAATGCAGGCTTGTGCCTTGGCTCAAGAACATGAGATTCAGCATGTATGCCCAACATACACTGTGGAAAACAATGTGCTGCTCGTTAGGTGAGCTGGTGCTGCCTTACAAACGCTTTCAAGACAAGGTCTCACCAGCTGAACCCTTTTGGCACACCAGTGCCCAGTACATTGCCTGCATTCACTGTAATCACCAGCACTCGTCCGTATTGTTTGCCTGATTTGCGTTTGACAACTTTCGGCACGCATCGGACAGTCCCAGGCTCGACAGGATGGCTCTGCAGACATCAATTGCTCGGTGTAACGCCCGGGCGGGCCGTGTTCCAGCTGCCAGGGTGGCTGTCAAGCCTCAGTATGGTACGAAGAGTTTCATAAGTTCAATGCCATCACAATGGGCCAGTGCAGAAGCTCAACGCGTCTGTCTCTCCTGCGTCTGCAGTGCGGGGCGCAGCTCAAGTGGTTGCAGCAAAGAAGAAGGAGGTCATGATGTGGGAGGCCCTGCGGGAGGCTACGGACGAGGAGATGGAGCGTGATCCCACTGTCTGCGTCATGGGTGAGGCGGATTGGGGCTAAGCGACTAGGCAAAGGGCTAGCAAGCCTCGACCAGCTCCTCACTGCTGCTATCGCCTGCAGGCGAGGACGTGGGTCACTACGGTGGCAGCTATAAGGTCACGTACGATCTGTACAAGAAGTATGGTGACATGCGCGTGCTGGACACCCCCATCTGCGGTGAGCAGTCAGCAGCAGCACAGGCTGGCAGATGTGCACCATAATCAGCTACAGGCAGAGGGTCATTGGCATAGCAGCAGGTGTCAGTGCGCAGGTCTGCATATCAGGTTCATAGCGACAGCAGCTAGGACGCAGTGCTTGCAGTGTAAGCTGCGCCTGCAAGTGCTGACCCTTGCTTGCCAGTTACCCCTGTTGGTGGCAGGATAGCAACACGCACTTGCACAGGCATGCCAAGACACACAGTTGTGTCGTTATTCTTTCTCGGCATCATGCTTGCAGTTCAGGCTTATGTTGCGGCCATGCGCTGCATCAGCAGTGAACCAGCGTGACATGCCACGTTGTGCCAGCGCACACACTGCAGCCCAGCATGTCCAACAGGCCCCCCCGCAAGCTACCCACTGAACATCCCACTTCTAGTAGCCACTCAGCATAGCTTTGGCTCCGTCGCTGCTGTCATTTTTGTTCCTGTCCCGCAGAGAACGGCTTCATGGGCATGGGTATTGGTGCAGCTATGACCGGCCTGCGGCCCATCGTGGAGGGCATGAACATGGGCTTCTTGCTGCTGGCCTTCAACCAGGTGAATGGCGGCAGCAGCTTTGGCGGCAGCAGCAGCAGCAGGAGCGGGGCCACCACTACAGATTCTGCACGAGCCCAAGCAGCATGCAGCTGCCCAAGGGACATTGGTAGGAAGGGCGCCACACACCTTTGTGATTATGACTGCCCTGAAGCTCGACTGAGGCATCATCATGTACAGAGCGCAAGTATATTGGTTAATCGCCACGCTCTGTTGGTGCTCCTATGTCACTTACCCTGCCTTTCATCCTTACACCCTTTCCACACCTCCGCTGCCTCCTCTGCTGCTGCTGCTGCTGCTGCCGCACAGATCTCAAACAACTGCGGCATGCTGCACTACACCAGCGGCGGTCAGTTCAAGGTGCCGGTGGTGATTCGCGGCCCTGGGGGTGTAGGCAGGCAGCTGGGTGCAGAGCACAGCCAGCGCCTGGAGTCGTACTTCCAGTCCATCCCTGGGGTGCAGCTGGTGGCAGTCAGCACGGTGGCAAACGCCAAGGCGCTGCTCAAGTCGGTGAGTGCGGCTGGGGCGTGCTGGGCACGGGTGTTTGAGGGGCGTTGTGTTGTTGGGTGGGCACGCGTGTAGGCGCAGCTGGCGGCAATCAGCACAGCGGCAGTTGCCAAGGCACACTGTTCGTTCTGTTCGGCGCATGTGTGCATGTACAGGTGGTTTACGGGAGTGCTCGTCCGTGAGCTGCATGTGTGCAGATGCACACACAGCACACAGCCAACTGCGTGCGCAGCTAAGCTGTGCACGGTGTAGCATTCGCTCAGGCCATCACTGGCACCTGGTGCAGCCTCTGAGTCTTGCATCAGCATGTTGGCATGCAGCGCTTGCTGTCTGTGCAAGGCACACGTGTGCCCACATGCGGCATACACCAGGCGTACTGCTGGAGCTCTTGATTGCCTGCATGCCGCGCATACGCCAGGCTTGCTGTTTGAGCTCTGTTGTGCGGCTGTTGCTCCGCGTGTTGCACAGGCCATCCGCTCTGACAACCCCATCATCTTCTTCGAGCACGTGCTGCTGTACAACATCAAGGGCGAGACGCACGACGGCGACTACTGCCAGTCCCTGGAGCGCGCCGAGGTGCGGGCCTTTGTCATCCACCCCACACTTTGCTTTCCTTACTTGACATGTTGTGTAGTTTGTGCATTTTGTAGGCTACACACTTGCTTGATTCGGTGTACCTGAGACAGTTTTTTTAGCCCTGGCACAGCAGCCGAAGAAAGGCTTGGGGCCGGCACTCATGTCCAACGGCAAGCACCAGCCTTGCGTGAGCGCAGCGCACAGTCGGACGGCAGCAAAGCAGGCGGCAGGGAGTCATTGGAGCGCGCGATTGTGCCGGTTACTGCGGGCTCAGCTGCAGGGCACAGGACAGTGCAGTTGAAAGCGTGCTCGTCTTTGTGAAAAGACAATGACATCAGGGATCATCAGCACCAGCAGCAGCAGCAGCAGCAGCGCATGCGAGGGCTCAGCAGGCAGCTCTCAAGGCCATCGGTTGCGAACATGACGACAGCAAATGATGCGGCTGCCAGAGCAGTGTCAGTGCCGAGCGCAGCAGTGGCTGCAGCATGGTGTTCAGGCAGTGGCGTGCATGCTCTTGCCGCAGGTGGCCAGGAACACCCCTAGTGTGCAGAGGCGGCGTTGTAAGCTCAACAGCGTGTGCAGAGCACCTCAGCAACAGCAGTGATAGGTCAAGCAGGTGCACTTCGCTTACCCACCCAGCTTACTGCGGTTGCTGTTGCCTGTGCTTGCTGCTGCTGCTGCTGTAGATGGTGCGTGAGGGCACTGATGTGTCCATCTTCACCTACAGCCGCATGCGCTACGTGGTGATGCAGGCAGTGGCAGAGCTGGAGAAGAAGGGATACAACCCTGAGGTAACGGTTGCTGTCCAGGTTTTCACCAAGCTGCAATGCCTTTGCTGCCTCCAGGCATTTCAAGGCCTGATGCACATGCTGCCGCATGACATGCTGCCGCTCTTCCTCTTGCAAACCATGTACATCCACAACTAGATATTGTGCTGTCACCAGTAGAAAAGCAAGACGCCCTTGCAAGTGATGGATCTGAGCACCCTCCAACCTCCGTGCCGTTTCAGAGCCAAGCGTGCTAGCCGTCAACAGTGTCACACATTTTGACTCGAGCGCCTGTCTCCTTTACGGTCGCCGCAGGTGATCGACCTCATCAGCCTCAAGCCCTTTGACATGGAGACCATTGCCAAGTCCATCAAGAAGACGCGGAAGGCGCTCATTGTGGAGGAGTGCATGAAGACTGGCGGCATCGGCGCATCACTCTCGGCCGTCATCAACGAGTCGCTCTTTGATGAGCTGGACCACCAGGTGTGAGGCATGCTACATGTTGGCTGGCTTGTGATGACCAACAGCACTCAAACCAGCCGAATATTGATGCAGAGACACCCGGCCTCCCTCGTACAAAGCTTATGATGACGTGGAAGTGGCACACGGCTGTCCTGGAAAGGCATAATTTTGTCAGCTGTGCTGCTGTGCGCATGCAGAGGCCTTGGCGGGGCTGAATTTGCCGTCAGGCCTTGCGTGCTCATCTTGCTGCTGCATGCATGTGGTTTGCACCCGCTGACTGCTTACATTGCTGCTGCTGCTGCTGCTGCTGCGTGCGTGTGCACAGGTGATGCGCCTGTCCAGCCAGGATGTGCCCACAGCATATGCGTACGAGCTGGAGGCAGCTACCATCGTGCAGCCGTCCCAGGTGGTGGATGCAGTGGAGAAGATGTGCTCCAAGGTGGCAGCAGCCGTCTAGAGCAGCAGCAG